GGCGGCAGAGACTGTCTCCCTGGCACTCCGGGGCTGAGCCACCCAGCGCTGCCGATGCCCCCGGGGTACCCCCCAGCTCCCTGTTACCCCACCTTCTTGCCTGAACAGCTGCCACCTGGCACGCTCCACTACCAAGGTGAGTCCCTGTACTTCGATGGTGGGCCCGCCGGGGCACCTGCTTTGGCGCTGACCGTGGCGGTGCTCACTTCTCCCTGTCCCACTCTAGAGCTGATGCCACCGGGGAGCTGCCTGCCTGAGGAGACCAAGCCTAAGAGGGGACGCCGGTCATGGCCAAGGAAAAGGACGGCCACGCACACCTGTGACTATGCAGGCTGTGGCAAAACCTACACCAAGAGCTCTCATCTCAAGGCGCATCTGAGAACCCACACAGGTTAGTCACAGTGTGGGGTTGGTAGTATGCCCTGGCCTAAGCATCGATGGGTTGAGTTCCCCAGAAAGCGAGGAGAGGACAGCACGGGAGGAGGGCTAAAAGTAGCATGTCCTAACTCTTCTCTCCTGGGTTTCCAGGCTTTTTTCTCCCTCCTTGGCTATATGAGGTCCTGTGTAGTCTTTCTTGTTGGCTTGGCGTTTTGCTTAAGGGTTCAGAATGACTTGCAGGAGTGGGTGGGTTTCTTGCCAAGGCAAAGGCTGTTGCTCTTTTCTTGCTTCATGGCTAGCTAATTAGCAGGTAGGTCGAAGTCAGCTGGGATTTATTGCTTTAGATGGTGTTGGCCTGCTTCTGAGAAGGAAGCAGACCTCTGTAGAAGATAGTGCTTTCTTTGCTCGTGGTTAAAAAGCTTCACACATGCAGCTGTCTTCACTTGCCCTGCTGTTGTGGAACCTCTGTAAGCTGCTGTTCGCTTTCTGAGGAAACTCTGATGGGCGCCTTGTGAGTGGGGCTTTCAGCTGTGCATGGTTGCACTGACAGGGTGCCTCACCTACATATGGGAGCACATCTTCCTCCATGCTAACACCAAAGAGGCAGAGTTAGTGGTTGATTTGCTGCTCCTAAAATTTGGATAAAATCTGCCAAAGCATGCACCTCAGCCCAAATATAAACCTTAACCTTGCAGCTCAGGAACTGAGATTGTGAAAGCAGGTACATTGTTGGTGGTTTTGCCAGTGTGGGCATTCTGTAACAGTGATTAAATAACCTGGGGATTTGCATAATTTAAATCCTTGGATTGTGAACTTGATTCAGAATTTTCTCCTGAAGAGGAAATGGGAAAGGGAGAGACTGCTGGTAGTCCAGTAGTTAGGCTGCATCTCTGGCTAATGGCAGTGGGGGAAAAGAATCGGTCAAGAAAACAGTACTTCCTGTCTGCCGTGAACTGATCAGCGTCATCTTCAGTATGTGTAGGACCGGGCGTTTGTAACTGTCAGGAAAACTCATCTTGCTGTCAACAGTGGTTTTGTTACAGTGAGGACAGTAAGGTTCAGTTCTTAATCAGGATGTGCTAATAAAAACAGTTTCCAGCTGTTTTTTAATTCTTGAGACCTGCAGTTATCTAAAGACATTGTCTGCTGACAATGCTATTTCTGGTTGCCATTTGATTGTATAACATCAGCCAGCAAAAATAGATTTACCTGAACTTGTGTGCTCTGAAGCATTGTGTGCAAGACGAACAGTGGAAATGAGCATTTTAGTGAAGATTTTGGCTATACCAACATTTATAGTACCTCTATGTCTTTAAAAGACAATCTTACTATGTTTGTCTTTGTAGTTTACTTGCAACTGCTTCAAGAAGTTTGTTCCATTTTTTTTGACATCACGCTTTTTCTTATCCAGGACAACATGTGTTAGAGCTTCTTGAAAGAAAGGTGTTATAAGTGGTAACCACAAAAAAAAAACCACAAACCCTGACTGATGTGGTGGTTTTGTGTGGGTTTTTTTTTTTGTTTGTTTGTTTTGAAAGGCGAGAAACCTTATCACTGTGACTGGGAAGGCTGTGGATGGAAGTTTGCCCGATCTGATGAACTTACTCGTCACTATAGAAAACACACAGGCCACCGCCCTTTCCAGTGCCAGCGGTGTGACAGAGCATTTTCCAGGTCGGACCACCTCGCCTTACACATGAAGAGGCACTTTTAATTGGAAGTAGTGGATCTTTCCCCGACTGCTGTAGAGATTCAGTATTTACAGCACAAGGACCATCTTCTGCAAGATGGGGAAAACGCAGTTTAAGCACTACCGATAATCGAGGTGAAGTCTTCCAAAGAGTGGAAAAGAGGGATAATTACAGACATTGCAACCTTTTAATATATGTACACTTAAAATAAAAAAAAAAACTAAACCAAAACCTTTGGGGTCAATGACTGGATATTCTATCATTCCATTTGTAAATCCAACTTGAATTATTTCTGGACTACAAAATGCCAAGGAGTGACGGGAAGTCACGGATATCAGGGTTAAACAGACTGTGTGTAGTTCGGAGGGTGGGGATATTATACAGGGAAATGATCTTCCCTTAATTTTCTTTCAATGCAATATTGGATGTAAATGTCATCGTGTACTTTTTTTTTCCCTCCTTCTAAAAGCCATTATGATGTTAAAAGAGGAGGAAAAATTCAGGTACAGAATTATATTTTCAAAGTTTGTGGTGCTTAGTGACTGTTGGTTCTAGAGGTACCAAAACCAGGAAGCCAAAGTTCTCAAACTGCTGCATATGTGACAAGGAAATACTTTTTTTTTCTTCTGATTGCTGATTATGACCTAAATCAGGTAAATAAACCTGGTTTATCTTTTTTTTTTTTTTAGAAAATAACTTCATGCAGACAGTCTGTAATGCACTGTGGTTTCGATGTGCAATAGTTTGTACAATGTTTTATTCCCAAATATGCCTTAAGCAGAACAAATGTTTTCTATATAGTTCTTCACATAATAAATATGTAATATAAGTTTAAGCAAACTTCTATTTTGTATATTTGTAAACTATGAAGTTAAAATGAACTTTTTGTTGGAATTTGTATTTTGCATATTCAAGTGGAAAATAAATTTTAAATAAACTTATAATATTTTATCTCAGTAGCTGCTTTAATTTTCTTCTTTGCATGGACATGTCCAAAGAAAGTTTAAGTATGTTAATGGTTGAGTTTTCCAAGGCAAGTTGGAGGTGGAGGAATGTCAAAGGCTTGTAGTCTCAATACTCTGAAAGCTAGGATTGTATAAATGCAGTGCTGATGTAACACATTTTTGGGGAGAAAAGTGTACTTAAAATTTTTGCACTGAATATCTGAATGCCACTAGTTTTGCCATGATGAAACTGCAATTTATTATTTTTAAGGTAACTCAGTTTGAATTATTTGTTAGAGGAAGTACATCTCTTGGGGGCATTAGTCTTTGCATATTCAAAGACAACAAATTACGGAATTATTTTTGTAGTGGTCTTCACAGCATGAAAAATTTCTGGCTTCATTTTCTTGGGTGTCTCAGAGAAGCTGGTGTAGCCACTTTCATGTGAACAGGAAAATCAAATGAGTAATGTCACAAAGAGTAAACTTGACTGAAGGAGTAGAGTGTGCACATAAAACACCTTTTAACAATAAACTACATGGAGTTTATTTTGAAGCTTGCTCTGTACTGGCAATTCAGTAATTTGGCAGTATCTAAGGAGCCAGAATTCCTGTAGGAATCCTGGTATGTATACATAACTTGGGAAGGCTGACCAGGCTGAGTGTACAGTGTGGTTGTCCACTCAAGACGTGTTGCTGTAATGTCCTCAGCCTGCACCTTCACCTGTGCTTGCTCTGCCATAGTGAAATGGGGTAAGCCTGCTGCAGGTCTTCAGCGTTTTTGTTGTAGTTGTCCTTAAGGACCTTACTGCTCTAGTTTCTTTACAAATGCATAGCAATAAGATGATGGAAACATGAACGCTCGGTGAATAGGACCTGTGTTTCTCACTGCTCTTCGTAAAGAAGAAAAGAATGGAATGATTCCTCTTCCACTCGTTTAAAAAGTCAGCTAGGTGTTAGGATAAATACAATGTTCAGTAAAGCTGAGCATGGAAAAGAAATTACAGGCAAGAGCCATTCATATTTTTACAGGAGTTAAAACAAGAGTGGCAGTATCAAATTTTTGTTCCCAAATGTGCTTTAGGAATGCTATTAAATTTCACATTTTTATATGTTCTTTGTGGTGACTGGTGCCATTTCTTTCTAAGGCTGTGTAAGTAACATAATGATGCAGAAAATACTTCTCACCCCTTAGCTCCTAGGCATGCTTTGTTCAACTGAAAGCTATCTTTGTTGGTTCGGTTTATAGGTAGTGCAGGGCGCAGGGAATGTCTTGTTTGGTTTGCAAATAGCAAGTATTTAAAGCTAAATTAAAGTTATGAGTCATCTTTTATCTAAAACTTTTTTCATGTGAAAACGTTTTACAATTAAACCAGCTATTTTTTGCCTCCTCTGTTGCTCTGCCTGCGGATTCTAGCAGAGAGGTCCAGGGTCAATGTTGCAACTGGCATGTTGCATGCATCTGAAGCGTGTTGTCATGTCTCAACTACGGTGGTGCACGCTCAGGTAGCTGCAGGATCAACTCTGTGTAGATGCTGTTCAGAACCATTTGCCTCTGTGCAAGTTCGATGTCCTAACATATCCCTAAGGACTGAAATCTGAAGATTTCATCTGAGAAACTTGTTTTCTTTTGCTTTTCAAGTGTTCTGTCATTATGCAGCCTTAAGAACTTTCTAAGATACTCTAGCATTTAGTAATGCATTATCTGCTTCGGCCAACTTCAGTTTCTGCTCGATGGTTTTATAGAACCTCGGTTTATAGTTGTACAAACAATGGCATTGTTGAAACAGGGCTTTGTTCTCTTCTCCCACTTGATTTTTTATTTCCCCACTGATCCTAACCAAGCTGTCCTCATGTATGCCTTTCTTTCCAGACCTAAATAGGCATGGTTGTAGCTTGGTATTTAAAAAGAAATTCTGCTGTTCCTTTAACTATTTCCAAAATGCTACTCCTATGCTTTTGGGGCAGGAGCCAACACTGGATTTTTGCCTTGCAGTATACAGCCTGTAAGAGGCAGTCCTTTTTTTTAAGGAGGTGTCTGGGGGAAATACTACAATGAGCAGTTGCACCAGTTGTGCTCTGGTGAGTTAGGTAGAGCTACAAACAGCATGTCCTGTTTGCCACCTGTTTTATTGTGTCTAGTCTCCTGGCCGTGCACTTAGGTGCAAGATTGTACACGGATGTAGTGGAATAACACCCGTATCAAAAAGCATATTTCATAAAACGTATGTAAAACACCACGCAGTCTTGTAAGGGTGTCTCAAAAACTGAGATTTGTCTAGTGTTACTAAAGCTATATTCATGTGCTATTCTGCACAGGCTGAGGCATCTAAAAACAGGGTTTGAGATTATTAGGGGTGTGCCCCCTGGCATAGGGTGAGCACCTCCAGAGCTGCCCCAAGGCATTATTTTAGCTCCTTAAAGGAAAAGCTCTGGTGGCAGAGAATGATGTCTGCAGTCAAACTGCGGCCAGCCTTAATGCTGCTCACCCCTAGCCCAAATCTCTCTCAAGCACATGTAACATGTGAAGATTGTTTAAAACAAGATGGCACATGTCTGCCTATCAAGTGCCAAGTATTCAAAAGCAGCATCAGAATAAAAATCCTCTCAGAGCTGCTGCACTTCTGAGCACTTGTCTGCTGCACGCCACAGGCTGCAAGTTTGCACATATCAGACTTGGTCATCAATTGTAATCCAGCACAAATGCTGTTAGCTTTCCCCTTTCACATGAAGGTGAACTTGCGGGAGAGGTGCTCTTCCTCCATGGAGGTTACCAGATCCCGCCACTGCTGAAGTCAACTGCGAATCTCACAAGGATTTATATTAAGCTGATATGAATCAGTGAATTTCATTCTCCTTCTCTTTAATAAGGGGAGATCAGAGACTCCTGCAGTTAATCACCCCGAGTGCTAACGGTTCAAACAAATTAGTTTATTCAGGTTTCCTATGGGAGTGTGCTGGTTGTTAGAGCCAGCCTGCTTCCACTGAAGTCCCTGGCAAACACTTTAATCGCATTTGAGTGCAGGAACTTCCAAATTAACCCAGTTACAAACTGTGTTTCTCTCTGGTCTTTCCTCCTCCCAGAGTGCAATTGGGTTGTGTACTCTAAGGCAGCAGGAAAATAGGAAACGGTTGCAGATGTGGACAGGCAGAACAGCAGTTACACTGTAGGGCTCTGGTGAGGGTCCGGATGTGGTAGGAGTGCCGGCTGGAGAAAATAAACCCAAAGTATGGTGAGCAAAACTCATATGGAGAGGAACACCACTGCTGCCACCATTGTGTGTTAACTCCACTTGCCAGGGGAGCTCCCTATATTAAATAGCTGTGTGTAGGCTCAATGGATGTCTCTTTGCAGACCGAGGAGATGAGTATGTACATAAGGGAGAGGAAGGCCCATCATTCACTGTATTTTAATTGAGGTCACATTGGCTTGGAGCCACAGGTTAACACACCCATATTCCCCCCATCTGCCTCACACCTGCATGGCTCACCTTCCATCTGCCTTTCGCTCCTGCTCTGACTTACCAGGGGGCATTCCCATTACTGTTGAGGGCTTCCCCATCAGGTGCAGAAGCTGTCTTTGTGGTGTGGAGGTGGGTGGTTGTGGTGGTGCTTCCGCAGCCTGCCTTGTTCTCCACCCTAGCTGCATATAGTATCTGCTAGTCTCCTTTTCACCTTTGGATATTTACCTGTGAGCCTCAAGGCTACAACCTTAATGGTGTGAAAGACAGGAGAGGAAAAAGTGGTTTGTGCTTTATTAATTTTTATACTATATTTAAAGCATGTGTACCCAGAGTTTTACAGAAGGAAAGTGGCCTTATTAGCTGCTCGCAAGAGGTATTTGGCAGCTGGACCTTTTACCTTCAGTGATGCTTTCTGCACTCTTGGAGCTGGGACTTCTTTTATAACTGAGGTAGTGATTTTCATGTGGATCTGGTCAGCTCAGGGTCATACTCATTAATGAGAAGTTTTAGGGAAAACCTGTGGTGATTTCAGGAAGGAAGGAGCTGCTCTCCCACACAGAGTTGGCCAGCCCACAGTGGCCAAGGGGTCTTGTTTCATTCCATGACACATCAGGTTCTGTGGTCAGGTCCATTGGGGGAGGGGAGGTGATAGAGTGACTGTGTGGTACTTAATTGCCAGATAAGGCTAAATCACAACAACACGTCAAGCTCCTTTCACTCTGATGCTTGGGTAAGCAGAAGGGTAATCATGTGCTGCTATCACCACAGCCATCTTGCTGCAGCTCTGAAAAGTTTTGCATGGTTTTGCTTTGGGTACAGCATGCTTGTTTATTAAGCACAAGCTAAGGCTTGCTTAAATCTTGCCATTCGAGTTCTCTGCTATCAAACTTTCAGTCTTCATTCAAGAAAATGATACAGCTTCCCTGTATAGGTTGGCTGAAGACCTTTAATTTAGAAACAGATATCCCACAGTTAATACAGAATTATTTTCCCCACTGTCGCAGCAGTGAGAAATGGTCTGACAGGCCATATTGTGCTGCCGACATGCAGGGGTATATTTACTGGGAGCCTTCCCAAAGGTGTTCACTGTCTGTTTATGCAGCTGAGTGTTGATGCCTCTGTGGCTGGCAGGAGCAGCGTATCAGATCGGGTTTGTCCTCCTACCCCTAGAAGGGCACGGGAAGGCTATCCGCTTTTGCTGGCTTGGGGAAGCTGCCTTGCAGTTGCCACGTGGAAAGCCTGGCCTCCCCAGGTATTTCCCATTGGCCTCCCAGAGTCCACCATGTGCTTCTCACCATGTAATACTGTAAACACAGAAATACATGAAAGAGAGCTTTGCTCACACATAAAAAATACTGTTTCTTGAGGTTCCTGTGTGAGTTTGATTTGCACTTTGGGCCTCTGGGAGGGACCCACGACATCAGTGTCGTTTGACATCCAGATCTCAGTTGGAGTCTTCCAGCACGAAGGATCTCCTGGGGACTTGGCGCCCATCATCATTATGTTCCTCTTCTCTGATAAACATGAATATTGTATGATAA